GGCAACCAAAACCGGCGCACGAAAGTGCATGGTTAATGGTTGTAAAAACTGAAACTGAACGTCAAGGTACAAATATTAGTACAAGTGGTGGTTTTATAGTTGTAATAAAAATAGTGAAGAGCTTCACTGGAACGGGTGTGGAATTGTGCTGGATTACGCTTTTAGTGGTCAAGGAGCAATCGGGCAGATAGAGAGTCATAAGTTAGCGAGTTTCTATACTGAAATGTGTTATTAATACTAGTTCGTAAATGTACAGAACAGGAAACACTTTTCACACAGAGGCTATAATAAACCAAATAATCAGACTGTTTTTCGATGCAAACGACCATCCCAAATAAATTAAGGGGATTGAAGAAAAAACTCACCTGAAAAGCCAGTTGGAGCGAGTATGGCAGGATTGTCCACGATGGGAGCAGCTTGAACATTGACCTGAGCAGATTCCGATTCAATACCCTACAAGTGTACGCAGGTGAGAGTGATATGAACTAGGTTAAATGGATTTAATACGGCTAAAAGATAGTGAGCACGTTGCAGGTAAACTATGTTCACATTCCCGGTAGGAGACTACCAACTGACAGATTCGTAATGAAGTGCCGCATATCTTTATCATTTATTGCGAAATACCAGTTTGTATTTTTTAGGCTCGGATACAGAGTCAAGCGATTCACACGAGTGGTCATCACCAGAGGAAGCTGTTCCGCGTCCAGTGAATTATCTGTGATGCTCATACCCTAATCCTCTACAGTTCAGACAACGATGAGCATCCGCTCCACCGTAATTCTAATTCCTGAACTGTTCAAATGAAAGACAATCAGATGGAAAGCTAACATTGCATATGCTAGATAGAACAAGACAACAAGGTCGATGCTGAAAGTCTAGATACTTAAGCATCGCTGTTAGTGCACTCGATAAGATTTCATAGTCTTCATTAAAGATCGGGCGGGTTCAGTGATTAAGACTTGCATACTATAACGGTGAACTACAGTTTGATTGTTTTAAACCGTTTCGAAACTGTTGCCTGTATCAATACTAGTTGTATGTTGAGGGAGTTTCTTATCAATCACCGCAAGTTGTAAAGTTTGGGCTAGGGATTCAATGTTTGGCTTTGGTTGTCAAGTACACAACACGTAACCCCAGAACAGCTGATTAGATGATACTATAGAGGAGATTGATGTCACAGTGGATGAAGAAAGTGACGAATTTGGTGGCGCAAACCTGTCCAGATGAACTCGTCAAAGGAACTGCAGTAGTTATATTAAAAGCACTCCGCAACAGATAGTCTTATCGATAAACAAGTGCAGCACAACTGAAAATCAGGTGAAGAACCATCGGACCAATACAGCGAGTGGGAGGCCCATAAGAACGAAGTTACGGACTGGCTGCAAAATAAGCCGAGCCGAAGTGCTTAGCTCGTGACAGTGTGGATTTTTCCTGAGGGCGGTTCACAAAAGGACAATATACATAGCTTTTCGAATTCATCCGTCAGCGGCCGCACTTTACGTTCGAGTTATGATTACTCCAACAGAGATACCACGTCACCGAGGAAACCGCGAGCAATCCCTAACAAGGGTTTTAGATTCTTCGCGCCGTACACCATTGTCAGTTCCAGTTTTGCGCCAGCTGAGGCATGTCTTGAACAAGCCGGTCACGGACCAGACCTCTAACAGTAAAACTGAAATCCGACGTACCAATGGGTCTTGAGTTACGTCATACTGAGCCGTATAGAATCGTTCCATTGCCTTCTCACGATATTTTTTAAATTCTGATAGCAAAGTCGAGAGGATCATGTGCTACGATGAACCTGTCCCCTCTCTCTATTACACTGGGATCGTGCATCGCCTTCGCGCGCCCCCAATACCTCCGACAAGGATGTCTGCTTTCATTCAAATACATCCTGCAATCCACTCAAACTCCGATTACTCCAACTATTGAAGATTGAAACAGGCATAGTTTTAGTCCTAGTGATAGCGTATTATCGTTCAGGGGTTGGTGATTTTTAACTATCAGAATGTTATTATTCAGTTAAAGGTATCCGCTCCAGCACGAGGTTTTAATTAGTGTGAAAGTGCCCAATTTCGGGATTTATGATTATTACAGATGAAATTTACTAACCGGAGGATCAGCATCAGCAAAACGGATTTTCCGTGGTCGTGCTCCATCAGTCGCGTTTTCCTCACCCTCACTGTCCGACAAATCCGGAGGTGGACCTGGTGGCGGTGCAGGTGGTTTTCGACCAGCGGGCACAATCCCTGGAGGTAAGCCAGGTAGGCTAGATGCAAATAAGAAAAGTTGGGTAGAACCGACTTTTTAGACAGTTCGACTACACGACTTCCAGAAGCATTACGTGAGAATGATAAAAAGGAATCATAGCCTAACGGGGCTTTTCCCTCTATTACTATAGAGGGAAAAGCCCCGTTAGGCTATGATTGACCAATATGCTGGACTAAACTTAAACATGGCAACATACGATTATGATCCAGTGATACTAATACATCACAAAATTAAGTCTTACACTGCTTGTTGTTTGTGAAATAAATTTTCAAGGTTACTTCAAATTCCTGTACATCCTTGTGATTCCGAAACTATCTTTTTCTTCCCTACTGTCTTTCGAAATGTGCAACAATAATTTCTATTTATCCTGTAATAAGGCTAATAGATAGAACCTGACTGAATGAAACTGATTATGTATAAGATATTGCATTCATCTAGCATTTTACGAAAAGAGCGTTAGACTAGATTCGCATAAGTTATAGAATTTTTCGCGTCCCCGGCTAGAGTTTGAACTTTTCTTGGAAATGGGCTGTCAAACTAACTGCTCATCTATACGAAGTAAATATGCAAGTGTCATTTTTAAAACCCTCTCAGTTGAGAAGAGATCAAGAGTAAAACGAATTGAAAAGATTCATTACAGCGAAAATATAAAGAAGAGAGAACAATTTGCATCGAGGAGATAATTAATTCTGCAGCAAACTTAAGATTCTGCGCAATTTAATGCTAGCCCCATATAAGTAAAATTATTTTTGTTGTATTTCATACGCGTCTGAGCCCGGAGTGCATGTCAAACAAATCGCAGCAGAACAATCCTTGTAACAGTACTTACCCAAGAGACTTCTTTAATATGCCCTTGGTATATGATCCCGCGGGCAGAGGTATATCCGAGGTCAGAAGACCCATTTGTGATTGCGGTAATTTCGGTAAAGGGATCTCGCTAGCTTTGACTCTTTCAGCAAGCTTTACCTGTTCTATAAGTTAACCAGGATAGGAAAACTGAGCTCAAAAATTTACCATAATAGAGCATCATCTCGTGTCGTTTTTTATCGTAATCTTGTCTGGCTGCTTGAAGTCGATTAGCGTACTCAGCATCCTCTTTTCGCTATAAAGGGCAAGATCAATCATGCACTCGAATCAAAAATACTTACATAAAGAAGAACGAGACGATCGAAAGTCTCCAAAAGTCTTTTTCTTTTCTCTTGGATAACACGTTCGTTTAACTGGGCTTGGACACTTGGATCATACTCTATCAAGAAAAAATGTATTCCATCCAATTTTCACAACGGTCATAAACGAACCCTGCTTGTCGTAAAGAGCAGTTTCCTCGAGCAGTTGTAGTGGGTCTTTTGATTTTAATACAGCGTGGCGAACCGCCATGCGCTGCTTCTTATTCTTTTTCAGTTCCCGTTTTCTGGCCTCCTTTCTGGCCTGATCCGTAGGATTCATAAACTTCCCACTCTTGGTTGTGTTCACAGATCGGCGTCCCATTTTTTTTTGAGTATTGAAAACGTAGTAAATTGGACAGATCAAAAGCTCCTCGCGCACACGATAGAAAAAGGCCGCTTTGGTTACTGAAAGGTAAGCACCAATAAAGATCAGCAGTAAAACCTTCACGGGTGAAGACAAGTGAGGCAAGGAGCATATGAAAGCCTGCACTCATTTCATGAAACACCGTGAGTGAGTATTTCCGTTATAAAAAACGAAAACTTTTTACGAGATGGAGGATTTTATATTATAAGATGAGGTTGACGTATAATTGAGGCATGAGCTGAGAAGCTAGGAAGCACTGAACAGCTGTTTTGACCTAGTTGTGTCTTATCAGCAGTTTGCAGAACCGTGAGAATAGTATTCAGAGCTGATATTCGTTATAGTTCTGCAGTCAGCCCTATCTTTAAGCAGTAGGGGAATGGAGGTACGTTTTACTAAATAGCACAACGTTATAATCAAGTGCATAGAATTCTTTTTATCACACACTTTCGTGTGATGAACAGCAGACGTGGTAAATACCATAGTCACGAGGACTTGCTGTTCAGTGATGGAAACCGGAAACCTAAGGCCCGCGGGACTTGGAGTGGTGAACCACATAAGGCCCCGATAGGTTAAGCTAATATGCCATAACATATGGAGAAAGAAATGTGGAATAGGTTCAAATATAAATCGACGAAAAAGTCTCTAAACAAGTGTTAGCCACGTCGACTGGTGCCTCAAGCCATAGATATTCGCTGTCCTAGCGACCCCAACCTGAGAGCCTGTTGTTAGGACGGAGCTCACGGAACCCGTCAAGCCAAGCACAGATCTGCGTCACGCCACAAGCACGCTTGCGACGCCCGAGGTGAATCGATTCCACATTGGACGACTAGGACGAATCAGAAAGCTGTCTGACGACAGCTAGCTGTCGTCCAATCGATCAATAGGAATTTGAAGAACGTTATCTGATTGGTGCGCCACCAAGCCATTCTCGTACACTCAATTTACCCAGCTTTGTCCCCGTATCCCACCATGGTAATAGAATACAGTTTGATCGTTGTTCTCCAATGGTGTTCTCCTTCCCGCATTAGTGTTGGGGGCTAAGGAAGAGGAGCTCGTGTCAGTCGTACGTTTAATTAGCGATAAGTTCACGCTCCCGCGTTGAATTTACGCCCAACTGCCTTGCAGGTCAAACGTTTGAGTCAGAGGCTCCGGTTAGGGTTCCCAAAGAAAAACCCACAAATGCCCGCTGCTTTGCAGGTCAGACTCTTGAGTCAAAGGCTCCAGTTGGGGTTTCCAACGAAAAAACCCTTCGTCGGTGTGAGCTACCGCGAATTATGTCGCGCCCTAAAGTCCCAGACACCCATTTCGACAACCATCTTTCCCATGTATCTTGTTCTTCTTCTCAACCCCGAATAATTCCAGATGCCTCCTGTTTACGCCACCCATCGGGTATCAATCAGCGTTTACAAACCAGGCCAGACAATCAGAAGCTATAGGATTTTTAAAGCCAAAATCCCCTTTTCACTTAGCCACGTTCAATGTCCGAACGCTCTATCAGATTGGTCAACTAGATGCCCTCGCTAGAACCCTCGAAACTTTCAATGTGGATGTATGTTGTGTCTCCGAAACACGCATACAAGACCCCACTTCCATTATCTCTCTGCGTTCTCCTGAACCAAACTCAACCTCACGCTTCACCCTTCGTGTGTCAGGCGATTCGGTATCCGAAGCTCGCGGTGTTGCTGGTGTCGGGATTGCGCTAAGTGTCACGGCTGAGCGCTCGTTTCTTGACTGGATTCCAGTCAGTAGCCGATTGTGCGCTGTACGTCTCAACGGTTTAGTTGGAGTCAACAGCTACAGAATGAAGCGTCGATGCTTATTCGTCGTATCGGCGTATGCACCGACCGAATGCAATACACCGGAAATCAAGAATGAGTTGCACAAGGACTTTTCTCCATTACTCTAAAGTGTTTGATCAACAGAAGTCAGAGCAGTCGCCGGAGACATCAATGCTCAATTAGGATATCTGGACCAATCAGAAGGGCTTCTTCGTGGAGCACATTCAATCCCAGCCAGCAGTCCGGAGAACGAAAAATACCTACTTCAACTCTGCATGGACCACGGATTGTTCTTGTCAAGCACCAACTTCGAGCACAAGAAACGACACCGACTTACACGGGAACCGCTAAGCTCCTCGATAGAACTTAAGGCTTTGGACGAGAACCCTAATCGTTCTCCTGGTCCTCCAGGTTTGGGGGTTCAACTGGAATTTGCGTTTCAATCGGTAAAAATTGTGGAAGAATAATCGATCCAAGTAGATGCCCCCACCCACTTTGCTTCACCCGCTGCCTTGCAGTTAGGTTCTTGTTAGGACTAAAGGCTTTGGTTCAGAATCCTAAACGTTCTCTTGCTTAGTGGCTGGACACTTTGGCAGTACCCGACCATCAAACTGCAATGCATACACACACAAACATAATTCCATCCTGCATCGGTCGTCGCGCAGGATGATCAGGACCGCGCTGCCCATTGCATCGAGCGGGGTGGGTAGTGATAAGTGGGCTAATGTTCAGATAACCCAACCTTTGTTTAACTCTTAGTCATCAGTACCCAGACTTCCCCCTTCCTCCGACCTGCAATAGTTCCTCAAGCAACTTGGATGTCGCTCGCCAAAGGTCGTTGCCAAATAAAACTGTAAGTGATTTACCACGGAATGGATTGCATATTTTAAAGCCTCATCAGTCACCGAATCTGGGGGCATTCAACGT